TTTGATCTATGTAAACTTGTGGTTGCCTCAGTTAAATTCAAAGTTGACAGCTGAACACACGTAGATTAGATCTAGATCAAGGGAGATACCTCTTGTCATTTAGTAAATTTACCTAAGGTTTGTTCCAATCTAGTTGTTACGACAATTATTAATAAAATATAAAATAATTATGCAACTTACAAGTGTATTGCCTTGAAACACATTAAATTGTGGGAAACTAAATTTAGGCTAATGATGAAAAATTGAGAAAACGTATTGTACAATATTGAATCTAGCTAGATGATCTCAACTCAAAAGTTAAGGATGGTACAGTAGTTACTTTTTAATTTTATTCTTAAAAATTGTAGACCCCTCTAATCTATTAACAAATTAATAAGATTCATTGCACTGACTTGTATCATTGGACCTTGTTCAACACTCCCAACAAATACACTTGCCATAGCCTAAGATTGACTCCCAGGTACAGCAAATGCCAGGTATACTTTTTAGCTGTTGTAGCGAATTTCCCATTTACCATAGGTCTCATGGTAAGACCTACCATTATTATGGAGTTTAATAGGGATTGCACACAACACCTTGCTTCTTTTTACATTAGTTAGTATAGAGGGGTAGGTCTCAAAATTTTATTTTTTTACTTTTATTTCGGTTAAATAAGGAGATATTGTGTTGAAATAAATATTATGATAAAATACATAAAAGGACATCACCTAAATAAATAATTAGGCCTAACAGAGAAAAATAGGCTTAAGGTGTTAAGCCTATTTTAAAGATTGCTTAAATAGAGAAAACTATAGGTATAGCAAGAAGGAAATTAATTTCTCAGTTATTCTTTTTCCAAACTAAGCATAACATTTAAATCTGCATAGAATTCACTACATTTTATGTAGGTAGACATCTTGCATTTTTTAAAGTAAATCTAATGGTTTTAACAGAGTTTAGGATTATTTAATAAAAGTAATATTTATAAGCTAACATTTTGAAACGGTTTTAGGATTTTATTCATATGTTGTAATAAGTTTATAATGGCAATATGTATAATGGCCAATAAGATGAAACATTTCATAGAACCTCAAGGCTGTGGTTTAAACTGTCAAGGAGTTATGAATGTTTTTGTAAAAAACACATGCGGACAGATAGACCCTAAACGGAACTAGATAGGACATAAACTTTTGAGCTTGTTTTGACCAAAGGAATTACTAAGTACATCATATACCTTTGCCTTTATATACCTTGTATATAAAAATGACATCAAGTTCACCCCCATTGGTCAATTCTTTTTTTTCCAATTTGTGGTGGCTGTCACTTTCTACTGAGTTGTGATGGATACATTTCTAGGTTTTGATGGACACCTTTTTTTAACGGTATTATCTTCAAAACCTACATACCAGGGTTGTCCATAAACTAAGTGTCTCAGTCACAACCAAGCAAGCTCGTTCAAATCAGAAACCTATCATCAATTTTCCTTCACATCATTGTAAGCTACCATAACAAGACTTATCAATATCAAGCATATAGGTGGGAACCAGCTATAATAGTAGTAATTATCTTAAGAATACAGCACTGGTATTAGATTTGAACTACTATGCTTGGTCACTATATTACTTAAGCTAGTTGGAAACCTTACAGAAAATCCACATAGAGCTGTTAAACTAACAGGACATACGAAAAGCTTGTATAAAGTTTTTAATAACCCAACTAAATTTCATCAGTTGGATGGTAAACAATCTTATATGGCAGTTCCCTGTTTAATACTCAACGGGCGGGACATGCAGTAGTTCTTATTTTCATAGCAAGAGCTACATGCTGGGTATCTACCAGCTTTGACTATTCTGATAGTCAATGCTACCAGTTACCCAAAGATAAATTATTGGGATATTCATTCAGTTGTTTCACGACAATCACAACATGCACATATATTTTTGTCGTACTGCAGCAAAACAGCAGTTGTTAATAGATGCGTTTTGTTTCGGGTCTAAAGTAGTTCTTTTTCTCTCTAGGGAGTAAAAATCAGCTGTTGTTATAAACTTTGATTGTAAGCAATCACATGAATCGAAAGTATGCCATTGTTTTATTCGGTTTTAGCTTATTATTGCATTCTTGTCAATAGTTTCACATTTCGATGGTACAATGTACACTAACACAATCGTAATCTATACTTATAAAAGGCAAAGCCCTCACTGACTCACTCACTCACTCACTCATCACTAATTCTTCCACTTCCCATTTACCTAGGAGGCTGAAATTTGGCACACCGATTCTTTAGGTATTAAATAGGAAAACTAAGTTGTTTTTATTCTGATCGGACCCTCGGGCTCCGCCCCAGTGGCTCTGGAGTTTCCCATGTTAACCTTATGATTTTTCATATTTAATGATCCAAAGCAGATCTTCCCCCTGTGTAATATGAGTGAAAATTATTTCTTGAGCTAAAGAAATGTGAATTTTGTTTTACAAAAATAACACACTCTAATATATACAAATTTACAGTTGTCAGGATACCTGTTGCTTTAGAGGTTTACAATGGTCCCTCAACCCTGAATTGGTCAACAGTCTTACAGCCTTTTTTTGAAGCTTTATGACAATATGATATTATCTCACTTACTAAACAGATGCATTAGCTCAATTGAAAGTAGTTAGAAGTAGTTTTGAAATGAAATGAAATTAAAAATGTCTTTATTTAAGAGGCGAAGTTAGGACTTGCAAGTCCTCTCTACCACTTAACCTCTAAAACATAAATAAATAAAAACTTATTCACTTATATAAGTAAATTTAAATAATCTAAAGTAATACATTAAATTTGTAAACATGAAAAAATAAGTTAAGTAATCCTAAAAAAAAAAAATCCCATTCACACAAGCCGCCAACAACCCCTCACACCAGCGCCAGAGACTCACTCAAGCCTGCTGCTCAATATAATAGATTTGAGAGGTTATCTTTACATATTAATAAAGTATTATCATTTTGTAACTTAATTTGCTTAAATAATAGTGCAATATGATGAAAAGTATAGTTCATCACACAGATAAAAAGTGTCTTATCAAACCTCACTCATTTTCCAATTAAGGCGAAGGTCGTGAAACTTGAGCTCAGGTCGAAAAAAGTCACTTTACGCTCTAGTGATAAAACATACTATTATATGCTGTAAAAATAAATTCTAAATAATGTAATACTTACCATAAGGGATTGAAAAACTTATAAAAATTAACAAGTAGACAAATTTTTAAAGTCTAAACAAACGACAAACAATGAAATTACGTATGACTCTTACCTTGTTTGCCAATAAATCTGCTTTGCTGGTCAGGTAAATAATTGGGAAAAATTCATCTGGGAACAACAAAATTGCCTTTTTGTAGCATAATGTTGGATTTAAATATTTAAGTAATGCATTTGCCTTATTGAAACAGAGCAAATGCCTGTTGAAAAGAGAACCAAATGTCCAGAATCCAGAATAGATGTTGACTTTATGGACAATACAACCAAGAGAAAAGTAGCAAATTCTGATTGATTCAATCAATTGAATTGAGGTCTTGTGTATCTCTGGATAAGAATCTGATATGGAATTTGTCAGATAGAAAAGTGTATTGAACTGAAAGTTGTTCATAAATTATTCCAACAAGGGTCAACATAAACATGTCTGATAGGAATACTATCATATTTATTGCTATAAAGGTTTTATTTAGTCCTGCATGGACCTTAATTTGGATTTGAAAAATTCATACAAGATCCAACAAATACTGAGGTCGAATTTGTTGAATGCTTTGCAATTGAAGCTGATTTGTTGATCAAAAACTCTAGCATCATTTAAAATTTCAAGAATTTTCTTCTCATTGACTAGTGCTTCTATCATCATAAACGAGTATACCAATACAATGGTGATTTGACAAATTATAAATAGGGCAGAATACTCAAATCTTAGATCGATGGTAACACTCAATTCTATAAAGCACACCAAAGTCAGACCTATGATCACAAACCTCCACAAATAATAAAAATAACCATAAAAATCTACTAGTCTAACTAATTTTAGAGAGCAAAATCCCAACACTTTCATGCACAGATAAATTGGAATGACTGCAGTCAACATTTCATACTAGTTTTTCAATTGTGTAAATCTTTATAAACATCAATTTGAGATTGTTAAGTAATACCAAATTAGTTAGTTTAATGAACAAGAGATATTGTTACTATAGCTTTCCATTGTTCCCACTATCAGAGAGACTGAACTGATGATTTGTATAGCAATGAACCATTTTTTATTGACATAATTTAAAAACATTATAGTGATTTGACTTGCCTATATATATATAGGCTTGTGATTACTCCAGTTCAATATTAGTTGGCAGCTAGAGAACACATAGATTAGATCAAATCAAGGGAGATATGTCACTGATAAATCAATTCACCACAATAGAAAGTATATTACAACAGCAACAAAATTGGAAGGAAAGTCCCAAAGTTGTCTTATTCTTTTTGTTTGATAGATAATATCACTAATATTTATTTATTATTTTGAAGATTAATGTTTATGTTTTTAGGGAAATAAGCTAATACCAAGGGTCATGAACGATAGTGAAATGAAGTTGTTTGACGAGTTTATCACTTTATTGTAGTATATGTTGGTTCCATTTTTTAAAGGTCCAGTTTGGGTTTTGGCTGAAAACGGTTCTCGGTTACGAAAAAAAAATACACAAGCTTTAATTTATTTTAAACATTTGAGTTTATTTAAAAATTACAAATACTTCTGTTGGTTGCCGAGAACCGTCTTTTGGAACCAACACATCACTACTTTATTGCCAACCATGATTATTGTACAGCAAGAATTCAGATCCAAAATTAAGCTAGTTGAGGGCCTGCATAGGTTTACTTGCTAAAAAAGATGAAAAAACTATTACATTTTGTCAGTTTATTGAACATGAGGCAGAAGTAGTTACTGTCAAGCAACTACGCTATTACTTGAGAGAGCAAGCACCCTAAGAATAGGATTGATAAAAGAATTAAACTCCTTAAGAAATAGCAATATTTTATTTACAACTACAATAAAAAGTGCTTGATTTACATTGTATCAATCATTATCTTCTGGTATTTGGCTATCTTCGACTGTCTTACTTGACGGATAATAGACTTTGAAACCAAATTCTCCTTTTGAAAATGAACCCTAAAAATACAAAAGAGTTAGTATTAAATTTTATTCGTTATTTTATAGACTTATATGTGAAAATCACGAATAAAAATCAAAATTTCAAAAAAATTAAAAAAAAAAACAGGTTATACTATGGATTAGTTCCCACATACCAAATGTCAAAACCGGACAACAGGTGTATTCTGTAGCTCTGTACACACACACACAAAGACAGAGACATAAATTTGGAAACCCTTTTTCTGGGTTCAAGAGGACCCAAAGGCTTTTACCCACCCAAAACAAAAACAATAATTTCACCATATACATTGTATAGGGGGAGAGAAAGTAATGAAAATCAGTAAATATGTCAGATATTATTTAATTTCAGTTGTTGACTTATTGGATACAGTTAATGTTATTGTCGAATGTCGAGCATATAAAATAAATTGTGATGTGTTGATATTATTTTCCCAAAGTTAGTTCTGGTACTAGTTTGGCCTGAATTGATTCTCGATTCTCAGTATTAGTAACATAAATACCTAATCAGTGCTCATAAAAGTTACAAACATAGTGTATTTGGGTATGTTGCAAGTATTGACACATGTTCACAATAGGACATGTTCATGCTATAATAATATGTTGGTATTAGTTACCGGTACATACAATAGTCATCAATTTTGTGATTTCTTGGTATAGGCTATTTGTGATGATTGAAGAATTGGGATTGGATGCAGTGTTGGGATTGGGATTGGGTAAGATGTATGGGTGCAAAAATTGGCAATTTCCACTATTTCCAGTTAATGAGCAACTTCAAAACCAGGTCAAATGAAGAACTTTGTAAGTTAAATTACAGCAGATTAAATTACTTCCACTTGCAAGTATTTTAGTTTTTTTTATTGTAAATTAAATAAATTAGTAATAGCCAGGGTGTCCAACCAACTAAGAAATAAGGAGAACCAGGAATTGTACATGAATTTGGATGACTGAGAAAAGTGTGTGAATGGTGCAGAAATTCTGTATTGGACAGTGAAATTTGAATTTTAAATAATTTCCATTGATAGCCCATCGTCTACTGTCCATTCATAACTGTGTTATGTTGGTTCTCTTTTCAACTTGCAACATCAAGCAAGAAAATAAAGATACTGTAGCAGGAAATGATAATAATGTAGTTATGATGATCATAAATATCCCTGTGATTGCAGGAGATCTTTATGATGTTGCCGTATCACAACTGTTGCTTCCGGATGTTACTGCTCTTTTACCAGCTTTTCCTTGAATGTTTCAGGGGTTTTAAGTTTTAGTTTAGTATAGACACATTTCTGATGCAAGGAAAAATTTTATGTAAGTAAATGAACAATGAAAATAACTTGGCACCCATGGATGGATTTACGTATCTGCTTACTGCTAAGCATTATCCTAACAAGCTTGCCCCACTACCCCGTAAATAGAAGAAATAGGAAAAACCATTTGGCCGCCTTCTCGATCATTCGCCTGTGATTCGTTTCATGCCGTGGCTTGTAGTCACCAATTGGCTTGAGCCCTGGTGGTGCTAAAGCACCGGTACAAACATTTTAACGTCAGCTCCTGGTGTCATTACTTTTTTCAAGAACTGGGGGTACCGGGAATCACCTTCAGATACAAACTGTTGGTATCTGTTATGATGTGTTACACATCACTAGTTTTAATGTAAGGTTTTACAGATACACCAAACACCCCTTAACATTACTTACAATTATAACCCGCATATCCAATATTTTATGCATTGTGTGAGAAGTAAAACATTTCATGATGGTAACTCTTTCACCTTATGCAAGGATGTTAACTAATGAAAAGAAAAATACTTTTTTAAATCACCATGATTATAAACCTTATTGATAGTAATACTTTACCGGGTTGATAATCGAGCAGTTCATATGACTTGTAGTGAACGCTTTCATCTGATCAGCCACTACAACAAGGTCTGGTAGAGGATAGAGTCGTAAAGCGTGATCATGGTCCCAGTAGACAGGACAAACACAAGGTGGCAGTGGAGCAAGGTGGGCCTGAGCCACCACTGTCTTGGCAAACTGTCAACAATCATCAAGTGTTAGCATTAGATAGGACAAACACAAGGTGGCAGTAGAGCAAGGTTGGCCTGAGCCACCATTGTCTTGGCAAACTGTCAACAATCATCAAGTGTTAACAGTAGATAGGACAAACACAAAGTGGCAGTGGAGCTAGGTGGGCCTGAGCCACCACTGTCTTGGCAAACTGTCAACAATCATCAAGTGTTAACAGTAGATAGGACAAACACAAAGTGGCAGTGGAGCTAGGTGGGCCTGAGCCACCACTGTCTTGGCAAACTGTCAACAATCATCAAGTGTTAACAGTAGATAGGACAAACATAAAGTGGCAGTGGAGCTAGGTGGGCCTGAGCTACCACTGTCTTGGCAAACTGTTAACAATCATCTTGTGTTAACAGTAGATAGGACAAACACAATGTGGCCTGATAACCTATAACAAAGAATGACTAATAAGCAAGGAACTATACTTTTAGTCTAAACCTTGGATTATTATTGAGTTTGGCATATAAGTAGTGAGTTTTGGCAATTCCCAAGCATGTTATTTGTACATTTCTAAGAATCCTTGACATTAAGAATTTTTTTTTACTATCCATCAATAATAAATTATGTTCACAATATTGTTAGGGCTTACTTTTTTGGCATTTCTTTTACAAAAACAGGTTGATGTTAGATAAGTTAGGTTTCATTTTTAGCTTGTTTCTAAAATTATTTTCAAACTTTCAAACTTACATGGTCAGGTATATCATCGGTTGTTGGAAAATGCACACAGTTCCGACACAACTTGGTGACAATATCTTCTCTTATCACCACAATCTCTTGGGTGCAATATTGGATACGGCATGGATTTGTGGCAAATTCTATGTTTGGTATTTGTTTCTTTAGGTCTTCAGTTATATATGAAATAAAAGCTGGCCTGAAATAACAATTATATTCAATTTATATTCTGCTGTGTATACATTTAATCAACAGTGACCTTACACTGAAAAGTACATGTCAGAACACTTAAGTGTACAATTTGAATATTATGCCATCATCTTGTTGAGTAATAAAGTCTTATGTGTTGAGTCGTTGGAATGATCGAGTAGTTTTTTTGAATAGTTGATTATTGTATTGAAACGTAAAATTATTGCTGTAAATTTAATCGATACGAAATTAATTGTATGGTTATTTTTATTCTTCCGATACCAATAAGTGTTGGTACTGAACTAACCAATCACTATTTTATAAATTTAGTAAGGCCATAATTTGAATGTATACTTCATAATTGTACTGTATACTGGTTGTGTATGAGAACATAGTTCTTATCCTTAATCAATTTTTAAGTTTTCAAACTTTTTGCCCAAAGACAACCATGTTGATGAACGTACATCTGATTGTTGGCAGAGGTGAATAGAAAATAATTCAATCACAAAGTTGCTGAATTTACATATAGAGAGCTAGAGATAGGAAATACCGTTACTTTGCAACAATAGTCAGTGACAGTAACGTTCCATTATATTACTTCATTGTCCAGTACTTTTAAGCCAGTTGCTGTTAATAGGGAAACATGGTCAGCGTTTTTTCACTCCCTCGTTCCAACAGTTCAGACGATCTTACAAAAATAATATGGTATTCTAAGTAATCTATTGCCAAGATAATAGATGATACTTCAGTAATAGTGTTGTTTATCCTATAACTTAAAACAATGCCCACCCCTATTGAGAGCATACTTTAATGTTAATACCTAGGCAATATATTAGCTGCCAGACAATCAGCAGGTCCTGGTACTATGATGATCTTGGTATTGGTGATGAGGTTGCGATACTGAGCCAACAAGTCTGCCAACTGCTTCATCTTGGCCTTGAGCATAGACGAAAGTTGGCTACCCTCCTTGCTGGACAGAAAGTTTCCCATCAGGACCATGGCGGTGGGTGGGAAGTCATCGTATCCCCCAAATAAGACTTTTAACTTTTCAACAACCTAAAAAATAAGATCAAGAATCATTTTTAGATTTCATTTTAGAAGCTAGCCTCCGGATTACGTTGAATATATTAAATTGGCGTAAATACCTGCTTCTTGGTAATCCTATTGTTGCTAGTGTCGCAACTAGTTTTGACTTTCTACAAAGTCATCTTCAGGCGAAGGCGTCAAGGATGTCAAAGGGTGGTCACTTCATATGAAGGTCGTCATTACACATAAAGTACATAAAAACACGAAAACGAACACGGACATTAACACGTAAAAACGGCACATTTAACACGATTAAACGAACAACGGTAACTGTTAAGGAATGATGTGACACGACCGGGATGGATGCAAGGTATGTATATTGAATCAAGACTACCGGTCAACGTGGTCGGTCGGTGCGATGACGTCACTCCTTTTGTAGATAGATGCAGTACTGTCATGTTGTTGTCAATATTTGTATAATTATGGTTATCTGAGACAAGTGTTCGGCAAAAGTTGAGGTTTGAGCGGCTGTTGTTTTTCTTGGTAAATGTTCTCTGAATCTTTTTTTGAAGGAACGAGCTGTCTGGCCAATATAGTATTTAGAGCAGTCGTCACAATTTATCTTATAAACGCCAGTCTTATCGAAAATTGGAGTTGTCGTTTTGGGTCGTTCTTTCAATAAATATCCGAGTTTGTTTACTGTTTTAAACGACACAGTGACGTTGTGTCAACGTATGTTTCAACGGAATACGGCTCATCTCTAAGTACCAAATTCAAAAATATCATGGCCAAAAACAACGTCACTGTGTCGTTTAAAACAATAAACAAACTCGGATCTTTATTGAAAGAACGGCCCCAAACAACAACTCCAATTTTCGATAAGACTGGCGTTTATAAGATAAATTGTGACGACTGCTCTAAATACTATATTAGGATTACCACAAAGCAGGTATTTACACCAATTTAATTTTTAGATTAGTACTTTTAATACTTTTTAATACTTTTCATTGAAATCACGACCATACAAAGTAGGTAGCCTATTTTAAGCCAAGTATGAATGGAGATGAGTGGCGCGATCTAGAGTCTTGTTAGTGGCTAAGGCCGGCATATTCCTTTGACACAGCTGTTAAATAATAGCCCATACAGCTAATGGCAACTAAGGTACCTACAGTTTATAGTGGAATCCGAACCACATTTTTTGCCATGGTATTATTACACATCTTCATCAAGCTCATATTGTGATACACTTTAAAATAAGCTATTTTAACACACCTTTATACCCAATAACAAAATTTTTGAGTGTATATTTATACCTGTGAACTCGTCACAATGTACATTGTGATGAACTTCAAATTGTAATTGTAAAAATAATTAATTAACAAAGTATGTGACAAATTATTAGGTCTAACATTTTTTTTTTACTAATGTAGCCTACCCGTATCTTAGTATTTCTCAAATGTTATTACTAGTGATGGGTCGGTTGCTGATTTTATCGGTTCGGTTTCTAGTTGCAAGTATTAATGTTCTGCTTCTAATATTTTTGCTCATTATTTTTGCTTTTCCTTGGTATTTTTCCTAGATAATCTGATGACAATTCACCTCTTGAAACAATTTTATCTCTAAACTGTGATTCCTAAGCTTTTACTGTAAAATCTCATGACTGTCAATTGGCTGTGAAATTAGCTGATGTTTTCGTAAATTTGTTATGGTGGTAACTATATCTGGCTTTACATTTCTTAAAAGTAGATTTGATTTAAGTGGAATTCAATGAATCGTAATTACCTTGTGTTGATCCAACCAAATGTCTGAAATAAAAATTATCATAGCTTCTGAATTGCTCTCCTCAATTTTCTTCAGTTTTTCTGAGCTTTTGACGTTTAGTTCATCCAACCCCCCAAATATGTTATTACAGCCAAAATATATCCTGAAACAAATTTTTTTTTTATTTTAACAGAGGTCAAAATACAATATTTACTGTACCAAATTTTTATAAACGGTCTTTACTAGCTGAATAGTTTAAAATCGAAATTTAATAGTGTTCAATTAGTTAGTGTTATTGGTTAACGTCAAATTATTCCATCGATGTAGCCGCTACAATGATTCAAGCTGCACTTGTGGACTCGTTTCGCTGCAAAGCTGCAGAAAGTAACCGTTTCGATTCCTAACGATTACTTCGTTACCGCCGTTACAAAGTAGCCGCAATCGACCAATTGCACTTGTAATCATCATGGTATTGATACTCTGATGTATTCCAGTTACGGTAATGGATTTTGAATCAATGTTTACAGAAGCTAAATAAATATTTGTTTGTATTTGTATTGCAATAAATACAAGTTTAAATGAGTTTCTAAAATATAGGATTCATTAATTCAAATTTGTATATTATTACACAAATGTATACAACCAATTACTGTAGTAATTTGTAACAATTAAAAAATTCTAAGAAAGATTAGAATAAGCAAAATTACAAGATATGTTTTTGCACAATGTAATTAACACAATTTGAACTAACATTATTTTCAAATCATGGTGGATTAATTTAATCCGATAAACTTATTTAGAGTTTGCATTTAAAAACATCAACTGTTCACCCACGAGGGCGTGGCGGGGGCGGAGTTAGTTTAGTATTAGTGTTGGACTGGACTGTTGGAATGGGGTTATCTCACTTGTCAAGCTGGACACATTTACAGAAGCAAAACGACGTGGAATCATCTTCTTTAAACGATTCCAGACACATTGATTTTGCAACTATAACAAAGTAATCAGAACCGGTACACTGATACTTGAGTAACGATTACTTTAGCACCAACCATGCAATGGCTACAAAGTAACGATTCCAGTAATTCGTTCCCACCTCTAGTCTTGATTGACACACTTGCAGTAAACAGGTTTATAGCAGGAAATAATTCAACCTTTTCTAACAAGTGGGGTTGTTGTGTCAAGCATGTATTCATTGGAATTAACATTTTTAAATAATGTCACAATAAAAATTAATGACTTGAAAAAAGAGAATTGCTTGAAATCAAGGATGCATTCTGCTATTCTAAATTTCATATTTAAGAGAATACTTATTGATGAACAAAAAATATCATGTGTTCATGTATAGTAATATTCAAGTGTTACACTTTATTTATCCAAGAGAGAATCCTAAGAAAGACACAACACAGATGAGATCACAATTTTATTTTAAATTGTTAACAAGATTAAAAGAAGTGGCTTTAATTGGGCTAAAACAAATCTCTACGTTTCTGATCAATATATTTAACCCTTTGAGGTCAAATTTTTTTCCCAGTTTTCGGCGAGTATAGTTTGCCATTCGAGCAGTCGGTAAAATGGCGCCCGGCAACCTATACTCATTCATTGATCTATAATGACTATATTGACCTATATTGAACTATACATTGACCTATACTCGCCATTCGACCGCAATGGGTTAATAGCAAACCTGGCACACGGAATCATGCACATAAGTACCAAACATCTCGAAGCCAAGTACCAAGTACCAAGACACTTACTTTATGGGCTTTTATGTTGGATATGTATATATGAATTTGAATGTAAGAATTTGAATATGAATTGGAACGGATGGTGTTTTTGGCCTCTAGGGACCTCAAAACGAAAAAGTAAATCGGTCCTGGGTTCAGGTCTTACCATGAGTACTACGGTAATAGCCTTTTCCCTATAAGGGAAATTCGCAAAAAACACAACAAATGTTGGTAAATTTTGCCTTTGTTTTTAAAACCTAATTTAACCTTTAAAAAGTGTTATTCAGTGAACACCAGTTTTTTTACCACAAAAATAAAGTAAGCCTCAATATTATTAATCTTTCCAACTAACCTATTAAATTATTTATAGCACATGTTTCCATTTCATGTTCAACATAATCAGCTGTTTCAATAGCTATTTGTGTAACCAGTGGGCGAAGTGGCACTTTGCTTTTGCATTACACATTAGTTATTTGTGCAACTAGTGAGCAAAGTGAGCAATTGACTCACTCGAGAGAAATCCTTACTCACGAGCCATAGGCGAGTGAGGAATGGTTTCTCGAGTGAGGCAATTGCACATTGCACTTGAGTTGCACATTATATTTTTCCTACAGTTACAATAAAACAAATAAATTAGTAAAGAAACATGACATATTTTTACACAGAAGTGAACTTTTAATATGACATTTAATAATCAACACGATCAACAACAGTACAACAGTTGACCAGCTGATTTACAGCCAGTGCTGCCAACGTATTTCGCGCGCATACGACCTTGTCTGCAGGTTACGCGCTCTCTATTTCGTGCCTTCACGTTGCAAATCTGGAGTGAGACAAAGTAATTAGAGTGAGACAATGTTAACATTGTTTCACTGATGAGCGAATTGGCCACTTTGCTTTCTCAAATCAGTGAGAGAACATGTACATTGTTAGGTAGGACAGTTACTATAAAGCATTTAAATAATAAGTCTTTCAAACACTGTACAGCATGTTTTTAGGTTAGGTTAAATCCAAACATTGAACAAAATGGGAAACGCTGCACCACTTGATCATAGTCGTAGTATTTTTAAGTGTTGCCAACCTATTTCCAAGCATACACGGATTACGTGCATAATAAAAGCACGCTGTTTTGTGTTGTTTTATTGGAATACTGGTGTGCGACACAGTAAAAAACTGTGCTACAAAAAAGTGTAGGTCAAAGTAAGTATATGCAGCAATTAGCAGCTTTCTGTACCATAACCAGTGCAAGGAAGCCCAATATTAGTGTAAATTTCAAAGCATCTATCTGTTCAAATGTAAACAAACATCTTTTCCATAACAATAACATGGGAACTTAAAAGGCCACTGGCGCTAGGCCCTGATGGAATTTAAAAAGTTTTATTGTTTTGTTTTATGGCAAATCTATGTTCCACGACCTATCCAACGACGCCTTGGACATGGTGATCAGTTACATGACAGCTTCAAAACAACTATCACAAAATTTGTGTTTCTCTATTTTTCTAGTTATATAATTCTATGTATAAGATAGATAGATAAAACTTACCTGCTAATTTCAGCATTTTCTGGTGGTGGAAAGCCAAGTGCTTGAACATGTAGAATTTTGTCTTTGTAGTTTCCTTCCACCAAGACAAAGGAACTTTCAGTAAAGAAACCTGTGTGGTAGTTGTATATATATGTCAAGGATTATGTATGGTATCATCTATATCTATACTATTATATAAAAATGTAATGGTGTCTGTCTGTATGTGTATTACTAATAGGTGCAAAAACTACTGAACCAACTGGGCTTAAATTTTACAAAAATATAGCTACCATACCAAGGACCATTATAGGACTATTCACATTTCGATACTGACCGTAGGCTTTGCCCAGTTGGCTTTAAAAGTTCTGAGGTGAACATTTTAAAAGTAAATATTGATTGGTCTCCATGGCTGTGATGAGAACACTAACAATGTTAGTGAATCATAATTCGTGCATAAATCCCGGGTTTTCCTTGCTACAACACTGTCACATATAATTTTACTGGTTTTGTTAATATATGGCCACCCTGTATAAACTGATAGAGCTTTTAGTCACAGTATTGGTCACCAGTAACTACAAATCATAATGTTGCTTGTGGATGTAAAAAAGGATATTGTCTGTGAGAGGTCTAGTGGGACACAGCCTGAGGGGTCTTCTATGTAGAAGCGATTCTCCTTCAGTTGGGTGAGCATCCCCAGCACAATGACACGGTTTATGTTGCCTCCATGACTCAGTAGGTACTCTACAGGCTGCAGTTGGAATTGCTGACCGACAGAGAACAACTCATGACGCAATGTTCTCTGCTTCAAAACTGTGTATCTGTAAAAGCATTATTATTTCTTGTACGTTTTCTTGTATCATTAACCAGTCAAGTCAAACGTTTTTGGACTTAGGTGTCAATATTCCGGATTTGATTAACCCTCCAACTGGTATAAGTCACGATCGCGACTCAATTACGTCACGCGATTACTGGTAAGATCGCGATCGCGACCCATTTGCAAGCGTTATGTAAAACACAATTTACTCCGTTATTTTACGTTTAATATCTATGTATTTTATATAGTATTAAAGAGCAAACACTGAGCAATCTAGTCATCATATGTTTAGTTGCATTTGTTGAAAAAAACGAATGTTGGCAAGCCTGTATTTCAGTTGATTGTTTGTGTTCGCTTGCGTCGTCTAGTCTACCGCATTTTGTTGTTAACCCTTTACTTTGAATGCTTTAAAATGAATATTTTAGTGAGTTGTGGTGAGTTTTTAACTTAAAATGAGTGAACTAAGTAATTCTAGTGCAATTAGGGCCTGTTTGAATGATGCTGAACCAATATCTGACCTACAAAGTGATGTATTCAGTGAAAATGAAAATGAAATTGATGACAGTGATGTGGGTTCAGATGTGTATGGTTCTGACATATCTTTGACTGATTTTTCATCTGGGAGTGGGGAATTATACTTTCCAAACAGTGAAGATGAGAACTCAGATACATCTATTACAGATTTTGATCTTCCAAGACCTAGGCCTAGGCCTAATGAAGTAGGCTTGCGTAGGCCTTTGCCAAGTTCTCCAGAACACTCAGATCCAGATGACCCTCCTATCCCTGAGGTAAATAACCCTTTGAACCAACCTAATTATACTCTGCCAGGGCCTAGGATTAGCTCGGGTGTACACTGGGTTAGGGTTTACCCACCTGAACAAATGTTTGACGTCACAGAAAAATTTCAGGTACGAAATCCAGGTCCTCGAAATCTTCCTCCCCGGAATAGCAACCCTATTACATATCTTTTCTTTACTAATGTTATCTGGGGTATGATGGTGAGGGAAACAAATGCTTATGCAAGCAGACAAATAGAATCAGCTATAAATGGAGGTACATTGACGCCAAACAGTAGACTAAGAAGGTGGAAAGAAACCTCTATCAAGGAAATGAAGCGTTTTATGGCCCTTCTTATAAATATGGGTCTGAATTACAAACAGAACATTGAAAATTATTGGTCAACTGTTAGATCTCAGAGATTACCTTTTTTTCCTGATAATATGAGCCTAGTAAGATTTCAGGCACTGAGATCAATGTTCCATCTTAGCTCTCTACAGTATATACCAAAAGGACAGCTCGGACATGATCCATGGTTCAAAGTGCGACATTTCTATGAGCTAATGAATGGATATTTTAAAGTTTATTTTATTCCAAACCAGAACATTTCATTAGATGAGTCTATGATAGGGATGAAGAATAGGTGTACATTTATAAAATATATGCCTAACAAAAGACATGCCCGCTTCGGTATAAAAAAATTTGAAGTGTGCGATAGTGACACCGGGTACGTACTTCATTCTGAGCTGTACAGTGGTAAAGACTTCCTTGAAAATACAAATCCTGATATTGCATTTACAGAAAAGGTAGTTTTACACCTACTAAATAAATGCTACTTACTCAATAAAGGATATCATCTGTACACAGATAATTACTACACTAAATTACCTCTTGCCAAAAAGTTACTTGAACATGAAACTTACATTACCGGTACCGTCAACAAGCGGTCAAAAGAACTCTCCAAAAGTGTTTTAGATGCTAAATTACAACCTGAGACATCAATCTATTTTAGAAAGCAAGGAGTTCTGCTTATTGGCTACAAACAAAAGAAAAAACGCAAGCCTGTTTACCTTATAACAACTGGATACCCCGCAGATGATCGTGTAGTAAAAAGTAAAAAAAGTGGAATAGAGGCTATAAAACCATCCCTAATAAATGAGTACAACCTTCATATGGGTGCTGTGGACAGCAAAGATAAGTCTATATATCACAGCACCTGTACAAGAGCTACAAAAAAATATTGGAAGAAGATCTTTGAAAATTTTTTGGACATGGCTCTCCTAAACAGTTATATTTTGTACCTGAAAAATACTGACCAGCCTATGACACGATACAACTATATGGTTAGCATCGTTGAAAGTTTATCAAGTGATGTTGCAGTGCCTAACCCAAGAGCTCAGATACCAGACGTTGGTCCTGGAGGAGATGCAGGACCCTCTGCGTCCCATGTATTGACGAGATTGCCTGGAGTACAACTCAGGATGTGTGTTGTGTGTTCCACTCCACAAAAAAAGTCCAGGAGTCATTTTTGGTGCCCTGCATGTAACTCAGGAGTGCACCCAGGCTGTTTTCACAAGTTGGAGCACTTTTGGAGAGCACCCAAGAGGGGTAAGAGAGCAAGGGAAAATAACGCTAACGATTCTGACTAGAATTCTTCTTGTAAACGGTTAGCTCCTTTGTCCAAAGTTGATTCTAAGACTTGTATTTTTTATTTTGTAAATAATTTCAATTCACATATAGGCCTAAAACACAATATTTTTATGGTGAAATGAAGTGAGAAGCCTGGGGCAGTGGTTTCCAGCACAGGTCCAGCAGGTCTTGTGTTTCTGCGGAAAAAGTGCTTCGTGTTTTTGTCACATATTTGCTTTATAGACTTTTTTTTGTTATATAAACTAGCAAGTGTTATACATAGTTGGAAAGACAATGAAACTGTAAACATTTTGGCTATCTTATTTTTTGATATAAGACATATTTGACCAGAGATAATATACTAAAAGAAGAAGAAACATTTTTTTTTCAATATTGCTGTACCCACATAGGAGGAATACCTGTTAACATACTTGTAAGTACACCATTAAAACTATTATTTTTGAATAGGTTATTTCTTTCTGAAAAAATCTATATATAATATGTATGTTTTTGTACCATTTTATATGTTTTATGTGGTATTTACTAAATGCTTGCGCGGTGGTCAAAAAAACCTTACCAGTACGGGAAATTTTAATGACCAGTTGGAGGGTTAAAAGAGTATAAGATTTACTAACAGGGTGCAGCACTATAATCTTTTTTGCATTTATGAAAACAGCTAATTTTAACTAAGCAGCAACAAAATACTCTGACATGCAATGAGAACTGTCAAATTAGGATTGTTTACAGTTGTTTATGTTTTTAATTTCATGAATAATTTTTGATATTTTGTGAACTTTTAACAATTTATTTTTCTTTATTGTTTAGGTGAAGTGCTGGAATATTATGGCTATGGTAAATGTGTAATACTATAGTATACTGTAAATTTAAAGAAGCAAATTTGATCAAAATGTGTCCTCCACCATTGCAAATGCAAAGCTTGAGTTGAGTATAACTGCAATAAGCATTTTATACTTATATGCCAGCCCCGTACGAAGGGCGGGTACTCTGCTAGTTAATTCATATTTTAAAACTAACCTCTCTCTGAACATATGACATTTTGAATCTGGGGAACCAAACAGATCTAGTTGTTTCGTTGGCTGAGGAAGAAATTTCTTGCGGTCAATATTATATATGAAGTGAGGAATCTCAAATGCTGATATTACATTTAAAATAGTGATATTTTCTTCTGTTTCACTTTTGCAGCAATCCTAAAATGTAACAACCCAAAAAATATAAGGTAAGACAATATAGGGACAGGTGGAAACTGGATAGAGTTATTATATCTATTTGTTACAAAAAAATACAGTTTATATTGGAATATGTGAAATTTTCAAATAAAAAATGTTTTTCAAAAAGACTAAATTGAAAACTGTGTTTTTCACAAGTTTAATTTGTAGGCAACTTATGACTGCCTTTTTTGGGTATTTTAAAAGAATGCATAGTACTTATTTGTAGGAAATTATGTCTTCTTTCAGAATATCACCTTCCACTTTGATCGATTTCCCTACCATTTAAAAGTTATTTGTAACATAGCTAAATGTGGTGATATTTAATGTTTAGAGCCTCTTTCTCAATCATATGTTTAATTCTGTTTGTTAGTGTTTTCTCAAGTTTTTGCAAACAACATTATGGCTGATTTTTATAATGAAGAATAAAAGCCACATTTTGTCTTTATTTACAACAATTTTATTCATTATAAGTTTAACTAGTAGAACCCCGTCGAAATCGACGGTTAATCTTGAGGTTTTATGTAAATTCAGCTAACTGCGATAGATAGAGTGAAAAGTCATTAAAATCTTAGTTAAATGAAGGGAGGATAAGCATAAAAATAAATATGACGATTGTGTTCCCTAAAAAACGTGATTGATGAATTCGTTTAACACAATATTTCCTACCTTTTTATCGGCTTTAGGTTGCCCAAAAGGTTTTTTAGGAGTCTTATAATTGTTTGTTCATGAGTTTGTTTCATGTCAAAGCCACTTTCACTATATGGGAGAATGAGTTCATATAATTAGTCTATCATGTTACGGAAAGAGTCAATATTTATTACTACAACTAATTCAATCTGCTTTAGGGAAATCATTCAGATTGTATCCGGATTAGTAAGTAAATCTTCATCTTTGGTCATACAAATACAGAATTTTATCAGCATATTAAATCATTTTTTTTATTTGATAAAAATATCTGATTTTCTAGAAAGCAGTAAGATTCTTACTTCGATCTAAGCAATTTTAATTCCTCTCTTGCCACATCGACCCATGTATTAAATCATCCTGTTCTTACTTGATAATTCATTACCTTGTGGGATAGTTTCGCCTTGGCCAGATTGATAACATAAAGCTGTGCATGTATTTCGTGGATGGAATGAACCATAATTGTAGGAAATTTGATCACAAATCTTGAACATTTGCGGAACCAAATCCATAACCTAGTCCAGCCTTGGTAAATTATGCAAATGCGATGAGATGTGATGACACTGTTGTGTTTCCGAATGCTTTGTATGTAGTGAGGTTTAGATGCGTTGTTCGACCTAGCTACATGTGTACAGCAAAGTAAAAACCCTGTACACATTTTTCTAAATACCTGAATTGACATTAGTTCACCTACTTCACACCAAAACCATAGATGAAACATAATTTGTAGAAACTATAAAAAACTTGCCATGCAGTGGAGAATCAATTTAAAATAATAAATAATAATGTAAACATTAAATTTTGACAGTTTCAGTAAACCTTTGAATACAATTTTAATATTAACAGCTGGTTCATTAAAAGTAGTGTAAAATTATCCATATGGTTGAAATGTAAACAAAATTGCAGAGTGAACTTTAAAGGCCTCTGGGGCAGAGCCCCAAGGAAATTTACATCGTTTCTCTTTTGAGGGCTCACCTACAGACCAATACCTTTCTTTAGACACCCCTACCAAGTTTCTACACCCAGCCGCTCTCTCAAATTAGCTGTGACAAAAACCCCGTTTTCCTCCATAAGAATAACATGGGATGGGACTTTAAAGGCCACTGGGGCAGAGCCCCTAGGGAATTTACCACGTTTCTCTTTTGATGGCTCATCTACAGACCAAGATCTTTCTTTAGACACCCCTACCGAGTTTCTACGCCCAGCCGTTCTCTCAAAATAGCTATGACAAAGAAAAACAGTTTCAAATTAATATATAGACTAGTGCTACACTAGTATGGAAAAGATTAAATTTCTTAAACCAGAAAAATCTGAGGTTGATCCTGAATCTCCAACTGCAAATGAAGAATGGACACCTGGTTACATACATTACAAGATTTTCTAGCCATAACAGAACTAACTGATACGAAAGATAAACTGAAAGTGCTCAAAGTTTTTAGATACATAAAAGAAGCAGAGGCATATGAAGATGCTATTAAAACATTATTGAACTCTATTTATTTAAAACAGAAAAATGAAATATTTTCCCGATATTTGCTGATGACAAGAAGACAACAGCAAGGAGAGAGCATCGATCACTATGTAACTGAACTCAAACTTTTAAGCCAAGATTGCGTATTTGATGCAGTGAACGCAGCTCAGTACAGGGAACACTATGTACGCGACGCCTTTATAAATAGCTTATCTTCATCATACATACGACAGTAATTATTTGAAAAGAAAACATTAGATTTAACTGACGCAGTTAAGCAGTCAAGAGCACTCGAAATGGACCAAGCTCAAGTTGATCATTAGGCTATAAAAAAGTTGAATACGGAATGCAAACTTGTGCAGTAGCTGAGACAAAACAGAAATGTCAGTGTGATTCTCACTCGAATTCGGGCGAAGGAGAGACTGTAGACACGGTTTCAGCTGTAAAAAAAATTTCAGGAAAGTGTTATTTTTGTGGATTCTACCGAAATTCCAGAGATTGTTGTCCTGCACGAGAAGCAACGTGTGGAAAATGTAGAAAGGTGGGTCACTATGCAAAAGTGTGTAAAGTAACTATAGCCCAGAATTTCAAAACCAATCGAAAGAATTCTGGAACATCCGCCGCCTTACTTGCAACTGCAGCCAATACATCGCTATTAAATGATTCTTTAGTTGGAGCGGATGTAAATTGTGTCAAAGCACATTGTCTAATCGATACAGGGAGTACACCAAGCTTTATTAAACTTAAATTTTAAATGTCCACCTGCTTACAACTTATGATAAGAAATTTAGAAACTTACTGTGAAACATGGAATTTGAGAGTTAATCTTGAAAAATCAAAAATAATCGTTTTCAGAAATGGGGGTAAATTGGCCTCGTCAGATAAATGGTGGTTCAATGGGAAACGTGTAGAAGTAGTAAACAGCTATAAATACCTCGGAGTGTTATTCACAGCGACGTTATCTTGGCAATCACATTTTAAAGATAAAGCGAGGCAAGCAAAATTAGCAATTAACTCGGTGTGGAATAACTTAATCAATAATAAATCTGTGCCTTTATCATCTAAAATTATGTGTTTTAATTCCGTCATAAAATCAATTGTTAGTTATGGGGCTCAGGTATGGGGTTGCTTCGAATCTGAATTCCTAGAATCCGTTTAAAAATTGTTTTTAAAGAGACTCTTCCGGTTGCCTTATAACACGCCAAACTATGTGATTTATTTAGAAAGTGGATTTAAAAAATTGTTTTTTTATAATATGATTACGAATTTAAATTACCTATTAAAAGTACTACATTTCTCCGATAATAGACTTCCTTTGATTCTAGCCAAACAAATTATAAACCAAAACTTAGATTGGTGCAGACAGTGGAAGATGCTAGGTGAGAAGGTAGGGGTTGATGTAGATTTTGGATCAGAGGCGGTAAAATCGAGATGTCTGACGGTGGTGGAAAAGCTGAGTGACGTATGGAAAGGAGAGTGTATAGGGCGCGCACGCACGTCCATTCACCACAGTCAGCTGATCAGCCTCGACCTTGGCCTTGAACTTGGCGATAGAAGCTACCTTACTGATAACGCCGATGTCAGCTTCGTTTCCTGGATAATTAAGGCTAGGGCAGAGCTGCTCTATTTGAATGGTAAACCTTGGTCAACGGGAAATAAGTTCTGTTCTCTTTGTAATATGGGTGAAATTGAAACCACATTTCATTTCATCGCTATATGTCCAATTTTAAGTAATCTTAGATTAACGTTTTTACACAATAGAGTCCTTTCTGAACGGGATTATATTAGTTTTTTAAATGGCAGGGATTGGCGAGCGTTAGTAAATTATTTAAAAAACGCCTGGCAATACAGGTGGATTTTAATACAAGAATTTAACAATTGAGGAAAAAAATTATCATAAAAATTTAAATATCGTACTCTTCCAAACTTCTAAAAAAAAAAAAAAACCGAAATAACTAGAGAAACTGGTTGGATTGTATTATATTTCTTAACTTAAAATATTGGCCATAATTGTTAGTTTAAGGAAAGATTTCTAATTTTATTTTAAAGGAATTTAATAACTGTTTTGATTTAGTTTTAGACGTGCCAACCCGGCAGACGACCGAGAGGTTAGTGCTGTAGCGCGTAGGCACGTCCCCTGCGTGGGACGAATTATTGTGCACTGGGTATTTTGAAAATAAAGCGCTTTTTCTTTCTTTCTTCTTTCTAAACTTAAATTTTGTCAAGTTGAATAAATTGAGAATGTATAAAGAAAAGGGACAAGTATCTCTAGCTGCGTCCAATTTGAAGTCAATCGTTCAAGGGTATGTTAAAGTCAGTTTAAGTTTGCTAGGACATAAATACAATGATTTAAAGTTGACGGTCCTTGAAGAACTATGCGCTGATGAACTCATTGGACATGATGTTATGAAGCTACACTCAAATGTACAAGTTTGGTTTGGGGGTAAAAAACCTCTCCTTACGGTGTGCTCCTGTGCCAAGGATGATCCGCCAAAGCTTTTCTTTAATTTAACTTGTGACTGCAAACCGATTGCGACCAAGTCTCAACGTTATTGACAAGAGGACATGTACTTCATACAACAAGAAGTAGATAGACTGTTGACAAAAGGGATTATAGAGCCAAGTTATACCCCTGGAGAGCTCAGGTACTGGTTGTAACAAATGCCAAGGAAAGAAACGTATGGTAGTGGACTATTCACAAACTATAAACAAGTTCACTCTACTTGATGCCTATCCACTACTAAATATAGACGACCTCGTGTCAACAGTAGCAACTAATAAAGTATTCAGTGAAATTTACCTCAAACAAGCTTATCATCAAATACCTGTATGTGAAGATGAAAAGCCATACACAGCTTTTGAGGCCGCTGGTCGCCTGTTCCAATTTAGAAGAATTCCATTCGGTGTGACTAATGGAGTGGCCTGTTTCCAAAAGACTAAGGACTAGATAATAGAAAACGAGAATTTGAAGGGTGTTTACGTATATTTAGATGACCTGACTGTCTGTGGGAAGGACCAATTGGACCATGATACAAATTTAGGGAAATTCTTAGAAGCTCTAAACAAGTATGGACTAGTAATTAATGAAGAAAAGAGCAAGTTCAATCAAACATCAATTACACTGATGGGGCATTTGGTTTCCTATCAGTCTATCCGCCCTGATCCAGATAGATTGCAATCACTCATGGAACTTCCAGTACCAAAGGATCAGACTGCATTGAAGCGAGTTTTGGGATTTTTCGCCCATTATTCTAAATGGATCCACCGATTTTCAGACAGGATAAGGAATCTGACTCAAGTTAGGTTAATTCCATTGTCACATGAAGCGGTTAGAGACTTTGAAAATCTGAAGCTAGACATAGCCAATGCACTTATTACTCCAAGAGATGGACAAGAACCGCTGTTGGTGGAAACGGACGCTTCAGATGTAGACGAGACATGCAGACATCTTGGCAGCAACCTTAAGACAAAATAATAGACCGATAGTTTTTTTCTCCAGGACTTAAAATAAATCTGAGAAATTGTATCCGGCAGTTGAAAAAGAAGCCGCTGCAATTGTTGAAGCCATAAGAAAATGGAAACCATTCCTCATTGGAAGAGAATTAAAACTCTATACTGATCAGCAAGCTCTTTTGTTTATGTTTGATAGGAGGCATACAAACCGAATAAAAAATGACAAAGTAATTTGATGGCGCCTTGAACTTGCACCTTACCAGTACGACATTGTTTATCGCCCTGGAAAAGATAATAAAAAGGCAGATGCATTGTCACGAGTGTGTTCGGTACGCTCACATAGTGCAAGACTTCTTGAACTCCTCAAATCCCTGTGTCATCCAGGGATTACCAGATTGTTTCATTGGATTAAGAGTAAAAACTTAAACTACTCTCTCGACGATGCCAAAAGAATGACATCTGCGTGCCAAACGTGCGCTGAAATAAATCCAAGATTCCATCGTTTTCGAGGGAAACTGATAAAGGCTACTACTCCTTTCAAAAGACCAAACATTGATTTCAAAGGTCCTCTGCCATCAAAGAACAGGAATCGATACCTTTTAACAATGGTGGATGAGTACTCACGATTTGTTTTCGCATATCCTTGTAAAGATATGAGTTCTGCGACAGAAATTGCATGTTTTTTAGATCTATTTTCAATGTTTGGTGCTCCTGCCTTCGTACACTTTGATTGAGGAGCTTCATTTATGTCACGTGAGCTGACAGATTTTCTACACAACTACAGAGTGGCAACTAGTCGCACGACTCCATACAACCCAAGAGGAAATTCCCAGATTGAAAGATTTAATGGAACTATATGGAGAACCATTCTTCTTGCACTAAAAACACATAACCTGCCAGTTAGCTCATGGGAAGATGGGCTGTGCGAGGCACTTCACTCTGTCAGATCCCTATTGTGTACTGCGACTAATTGTACACTTCATGAGAGATTTTTCAAACATATCGCAGAACCAAAAACGGAGAATCCCTACCTTCATGGCTGACTAGCCCTGGTCCAGTATTGATGAAGAAATACGTCCGTACAAGTAAATACGATTACCTCGTAGAACGAGTAGATCTCCTAAAAGCAAATCCTCAATATGCTTTAATTAGGAGGGAATATGGTTCCGAGACCCAAGTATCACTAAGACATCTTGGGCCTGCTGGACTACCAACTAGTGAGTATACATCTGATGAGTGTACAAACGATCAACGTGAGGATGATCACGAGTTCAATGCTGACGATTGTATTTATTTCAACGCTGTGGAGCAGCATGAGTTCTCTAGTTTTATTTTAAATTATTTTACACAAACTGTTAAATGTACTCCTTGGGCAAACAGGACTGATCACACTGAGCATAAGTTATCATTTGGATAAGCTGCATCTTTAACCGGCCTAACAAGTACAGCTGGACACAATAGGAATTTAACTTGCACTTCTTGATGATGATATAAACAGATATTATTATCAATTACAATATATAAATATTATTAACTATTATTATCAAGTCAATTGCTCCCTGTATTGAGATAGGTCTATGTGATTTATAACATTTTACAGTAAATAAAGTTATTCCTAATAACGTAACTCAAATCATACGGGCCATATATTATTCATCATTTTTTAATATTTTTTTAAATAACACAGACATTAATACTGAACTAAGTATACCAAAATTGCAGATTCAATAAGTCCTTTCTCGACAAAAGGGGTGTTGAGAGATTGTCTCTGAATGTAGTCTACAACTTTGTCAAGCCATTCATCTCGCTCTTGTTCTTCTAGTGGAGCCAACTGAGACGCAAAGTATTCACATGCATCGCTGCAACAAACAAATATAGAACTATGGATTAGGCCTACAACTTATGACAGACATTTTAGCGAATTTATCATAAAGGGTAGAAGTTATTACCGGGTCAATCCATATCAAGTGATCCAGAAATAAAATAATTGGTTGCTTGACCATTTTAAAAATAAATAATAATTTTATCCTAGATACCTCTATCAATTCTGGGTTCAAAAGTGATTTTAATTTTTTTTTATCTCTTTTGTTACTTCTACGGCGGCCATTTCTGTTTTGCAGAACACGCAAATTTTTGCTCATGTAAGGGTTTGCGTTAACTTGCACAACTCGGTAACCATGAACACTAGAGTGATGAAACAAAAAGCATTTTAATCTGGAAGAAACAGCCTAAATATTATGTTCAGTACATATTTATTGAAATGTGTATCAAAAACAGTTATAAACCCATCTCAACATTTCATAAGAAAACGGAAAAATTTCAACTTTTGAAGGCGTATTACCATTGGAACGAATAAAATCTCAGACTTGATTTTTTTTGTGTGTGTAGCAACTCAGTAGAACTGTTTGTATTTCAAATATCAACCATGAGACTTAATTCCTTTAAAAGTTATCATTTTTCAAAAACTGAAATTTTTTGAAAAATTCAAATTTTGAGTCTCAATATCTTTGTTGGGACAAAGTTTAAAAATCTGAAATTTTTACCAAAAACCCCTCTTATGGTTGTTATACTGCTGTATGAATTTCATCTTTGAGATTTACTTTTAAGCTAAGTTACAGTATCATGAAAATCACAAAAAACCCATAAGCTCGGCCAACGTGGCTAGTACTGTAGGTAGCTTAAAGATTAATTTATAGGTGTAGGTAATTATTTTATTTAATGTAAACTTATCTTAATGTTCATTTCAAAAATCCAAAACAGATTTTTAACTTAAACTTTGTACCCAAAGTACAAATTAGGCCTATATGTACCGCTACGGTACTAAAAATAAATAAAATCCTGCTAAATTTTAAGTTTTATTCATCATTTAACTTAAATAAAACTTAGTTAATTCTATTTATATTGAGGTCTTAAAATTTATTTTCCATTTAGATTTAATGTACCGTAACCTGTATAACACAAATCAATAAGTGTTTATTGTGGTATTTTGAAAAAAAATAACTCATATTCTGTGGGAACTGATACAGTCTCCAGTACCTACAGGAAGTCGTAAATGAGTCACAAAACACAGTTTTTCTTAACAAAATAATTCATTTTTATAACAGATGAAGAAATCACTCAACACCTCAACAACAAACTCCTGGACCGATTTGAGAACTGTTTAAAAATTACTGGAACAAGAAGCTTCCATTGTTTTATTCCTGTACCGGACAGTAGTAATGTTAGGTGCTTCGTAACCTCACTAGCAACTGAAAGCTGTAAAAATTACACTTCATACCAAAGACTCTATTGCATTTGTGTATGACAGTGGTGGGTGGCAGAGGTGATTGACATCAGTTATCAAAATAAAGATCCAGCAGGACCAACAACCAACCGCCTTTAAAACAAATTAGAAAGACCAAGCTTGGGTGCCTATAAACAATAACGAAGTTTTGAGAAAATTAAATCTCTTTTAACTGGACAACCAACAAGAACTTAACAAACCACTGGAAGGACAAACCCAAACTGAATGAAGAAACATCCAAACTTCCTAATTAGCATGATCAAAGTAGAACAAAAAACACTAACAAGTAAAAAAAGTTGTATACTTTAAGAACTTGTCTTTCAAACAGCTTTTTTATGTAAAATTTCTAATATTCTTTATTAAAATGAAAGTGGTTCAATAAATTAATAAATTAGTTCAAAATATTTAGGCCTATTGGAAAAAAAGGTGTAAACCTGAATGAAAATAATCTGATAAAAAGTTTTTTTTAATTTCACATAGCCTAAGACAAGAAATTTGCAAGAAAAGGCTATACATTACTTTAAAGTAAGTTAGGTAAGTTTACATTAAAAAAAATAATTACCTAGACCTATAAATTAATTTTTAAGCTACCTACAGTACTAGCCGCGTTGGCCGAGCTTATGGGGTTTTTGCGATTTTCATGATACTGTAACTTAGCTTAAAAGTAAATCTCAAAGATGAAATTCATACAGCAGTATAACACCATAAGAGGGGTTTTTGGTAAAAATTTCAGATTTTTAAACTTTGTCCCAACAAAGATATTGAGACTCAAAATTTGAATTTTTCAAAAAATTTCAGTTTTTGAAAAAAGATAACTTTTAAATGAATTAAGTCTCATGGTTGATATTTGAAATACAAACAGTTCTACTGAGTTGCTACACACACAAAAAAAATCAAGTCTGAGATTTTATTCGTTCCAATGGTAATACGCCTTCAAAAGTTGAAATTTTTCCGTTTTCTTATGAAATGTTGAGATGGGTTTATAACTGTTTTTGATACACATTTCAATAAATATGTACTGAACATAATATTTAGGCTGTTTCTTCCAGATTAAAATGCTTTTTGTTTCATCAATCTAGTGTTCATGGTTACCAAGTTGTGCAAGTTAACGCAAACCCTTACATGAGCAAAGATTTGCGTGTTCTGCAAAACAGAAATGGCCGCCGTAGGAGTAACAAAATAGATAAAAAAATTTTAAAATCACTTTTGAACCCAGAATTGATAAAGGTATCTGGGATAAAAATATTATTTATTTTAAAAATGGTCAAGCAACCCCTGTTGGATCACTTGATATGGATAGACCCTACCAGGTCCCATGGACCTAATGCAGCCACTTAGCAATATAAAAGCAATTTAGCTCTTCAGATCCCCTCTCTAACCCATTGGCCAACCCTAATCCAGCAGTTCCTAAACTTTTTGGTCTGTCAACCCACCACATGCGTACAGATTGACCAGTGGTTCAAGGGTCTGTTCTAACATATGGACTGGCCAGTGCTCCTAATGAGCAGGGACAAAAAATGGGAGAGGAGCTTACAGCAGCGCTGAGGGAGAAGCTTGTCCATTCATGTGTTTGTCAACAACATAGGTTGAATGATTCAAAAGCATTTACTCACGCTCATAAGTTTCAACTTCTGAAAGTTATTTTAGTTGTTAGCGAATTTCCCTATATGGAAGTAGCTATTACCATAGGTGGCACGGTAAGCCCGGGACCGATTTACTTTTTCAAAATGTCCCCAGAGGCCAAACACCAATCGTTCAAACTTATATAGGTATATATATATAGTTTTATACAGGGTGACAAAAAAGTCTGGAAACGGCTTAATATCTTTTTAACTAAATCCGTTATAAAATTCAAACCTTTCAAATCAACTTATATGTGTGAAAACTACTTTTTCCAAGCATTTCCATTTTTGACTTTCACCAGGGGACGACGACCCATGAGGATTGGGTACATAATCTTTAATGTAAGCATAGGTTGATATGCACATCATTTTAAAGGGTTAGTCAAGTGGAGTTCATTGCCAGAAACCACATCTCAAAAGGCTCATCCGTTACAAAATGGCGGCTGTCCAAAGTTCTTGTAGAATATACCTGCACAGGCCTTAGTATTGGTAGTTTTCTTTTCTTTTTTTTTAAGAGGTTTGGCGGCCTCTTTTAACCTTGCATTTGCCCGTCCACATAGACTAAGCGCCCGTGCGTGGATCGTTTACAGCAAAGCAAGGAGTGAGCCGGTACAGTACAAAGGTGAACTGTACTGATAAATTTTAGTGGCAGTGACCAAGATCCGAACCCACGACATCACTGCCTTGGGCCCGAAGTCCGCGACGCTACTGACTGAGCCACCGACTCACATAAATACTTGTATTCAACATTAGCTTGAGAGCTGAAATTTAATTTAAAGTCAACTGGCTCATAGACTAATATTATTCAATCTTCAAAACAAATTTAATCGGTCTTCAGCTTTCCCGGCTAATGTTGACTATGAGTAATGCTTGCAAAAAGTAGTTTTCATACGTATTATAAGTTGATGTAAAAAGCTTGAATTTTCTAACGGATTTAGTAACAAAGATATTAAGACGTTTTCAGACTTTTTTGTCACCCTGTATGTGTCCATGAACACGATAACTTGAGTAATTTTTGTCCGATTTTGATGAAATTTGGTTTAAAGGTGTAAGGCGGGATAAACTTTCGAACGAGTTCGCAAACCAGCATGATTGGCCAACGGGAACGGAGTTTAACGTGGTGTTTTATATTGGGGTTTTCTCATTTTTTACCCTCAAAACACAAAATTTCCCAATTTCTCTCTAGACCTTTTTAAAGAGCTTTAAAAAAACAAATAATTTAGTATATCAAAGAGTTTTAGAGATCTAAATTGTCTTGCTGATTCACGGATCTATCTGTGAAACTCCAGGACAAGTTCTGGACTCATTTAAGTCCAGAACTTAAAGCAAAAAACATTGAGGGAATCGTAGAGTATTTGGTGTTGGTGTGATGTTGGCAGTGGGTGATAGCCGGCCGTGCCGTGCCGTCTACTTCCCACCTCGTAAACAAGAGATTAGTAAATTTTAATGTTAACTGTTATTATACTAATAATTACTATCCTGGGGAGCGAGCTGGCGTAGTGGTTAGAGCGCGGGACTTCAGTCCCTGAGGTCCCGGGTTCGATCCCCGCCAAGTCACCAATGGATTTGATCTAAGTGATAATGCCGCAACCCCTAGGTCTAGCCTGAAGTAATGTGAAAAACAATCCCAGGCTCGTGCCTAGCGTCCTAGGAAAAAAAAAATAAATAAATAAAAAAAAAATTCCTACAATACCATTCTTGTTTAGTTTAGGTGTATTTAAAAAATGTGTATGATAAGGTCGTGTTGCAAACGTCTGAGCTAAAAGTAAAAAAACTACTTGTTTGTAGTTTTTGAATAGCATTTATATTTAACATTTTTAAATGGTTCATTATATTGACATGCAGTATAGGCTAAAATTTATTTCAAAATTATTCATTAGGCCTAATTTGTAATTTTAGTTGTGCATAAAGTAAGTTGAAATACATTTTTATTTAAAAAAAATATAAAAATAGT